CACAGCTTCTCTGGGCACCCTGTGCCAGCGCCTCAGCACCCTCACAGGGAAGAACTTCTTCCTAATATCTAATCTAAATCTCCCCTCTGTCAGTTTAAAGCCATTCCCCCTTGTCGTATCCCTACCCTTGTGAAAAGCCCCTTTCCAGCTTTCTTGTCAGCCCTTTTAGGCACTGGAAGCTGCTCTAAGTTCTTCCCAGAACTTCTCCAGGCTGAACAAGCCCACCTCTCTCAGCTCCAGCCCTTCATGGCCTCTCCTGGGCTCACTCCCAACAGGTCCATGTACTTCTTACGCTGGGGGCCCTGCACTTCTTTCTGAAATGTCGTTCTTTATTGCCAGAGAAGGTAAATTGCCATTCAGTGTAAAATGTGGGTGGGATGAAAGCAAGAACTTCCCTTCAGTAGAATAAAGTTTGTGTTAGTGATAAATACGGTGAGACTGGGGAATGCTGAGAAAATGTTGTGTACATCTCAAATTTAGAAGTGAAAAAGGCTTGTGGTTTACTGAGAAGTTATTTTGCAAAATCAATCTTGTCTTGAAAAGTTCTGCTTATACATCAGCTTATTAAGGGAATTAATTGTACCAGCTGGGAGAGAAATATCTTGCATCCTTCATATGTTTATATAATTCTCTGGTTTTCTTTAGGAGCAAGCCTTTGATCCATATGAAACCTTGTCCCAGGATATTCTTTCTCCACAATTTCATGAGCATTTTAATAACTTAATGGCAAAACCTGCTGTTGCTCTCCACTTTCAGGTGAGTGCAAATGAGAAATACTGAATTGCTTTAGGTCTCATATGTCAAAGGTTTGAAATTGTCATTCTTTATTTCCTACTGAGGACCAAATCCTTTAGATTCTGACCTATTGTGTTGTAAGATATCTGGACTCTTGCCTCTTCCTGTAAGAACTGGATATAGCTCTGTGCCATCCATACTTTTTTTGCAGGTTTTTTTGTCCTCACATCAGACTCTCTTACTTGAGAATAGAGGGTGACTTCTCATACCTGCCACTTGTACTTCTGTTTTACCTTTTAATGCCAAACACAGGCACCCAGGCACAATCTTTTCATTTTCTTCCATGCATATCTAAGGCCTCCTTGTTCAGCACTGAGGCTGGGACTGGCAGTTTTTCTTGGATAATTTCTTTAATAGAACTATCCAGCAAGATCATATGTGATTTGTTAATATATATTTTTTGGGTTTTATTGCTTCCTTCTGTCAGTGTGGCAGATCTGTTAAGGGCTACTCCTCAGAGGACTGAGCTTGTGTTCAGAAATGCACTTGGAGAAGCTGCTGAGCAAGTGTTTGGTCAGTGGTGCTCCCAGCTAAACCTATTATAGTAGTGCTTAGTTTATAGGGTTCACTGGGGCGCAGCTTGTCTCTGCAAGCTGAGATTCCTCTGAGCCATTCCTTCAGGGTGAGTGTTTCCTCTTCAGCGATGAGTGCTTAGTAAGCCTGATCATCTCACTCAAATACTGCTTGGTGAATGAAGTCAGGCCCTTTACCCACCTCCCTAGCAAATTTAAAGCCCAAAGCCCTATTCCATATTAAATTGGTAATCAAGTAATTTGACTGTGAATCTGGCCTCCTTTTTGACTGTCCTCACTATAGAAAGGTTTGGGCTTTCCTGGGGATGTTTCTTCACACTCCTCCAAGCCATGACATTAAGGCAGACGTCCAAGCTCTGGGCCATGGATATGTATGAGCTGTCTCTGGCCATTGCAGGGAGACACAGCCAGAAGTTTTAAATGGGGGGAAAGGTCATTTCCAAAAAGGAGATCAGATAATTCAGTTTCCATTCAATAGTTATTTTGTTATGGAAGATGGAAGGGATTCACTATCCTTTGGAAAACCTCTCCTCATCTACAACCTGAAGTATTGTGTTAATTAACTGCTGAGAATGGGAAAAAAATTGTAACTCATTTTCTGGGTCATAAACTCGTGATTCTCAGTTTCGGAGGGAGAGGAGATACTAATGTCTTCAGTACTTGATGAGACTTCTATATATGTAATGGATATAAACTGGAGCACAATGTATGTAACTGGGAGGAGAGGACATTAGAGGGAAATTGGTGGCGAGTTTATTCGATTGTATGAGAATCCTGGCTGGTCTTTAACATTCCACTGTTTGCTTTAAATTCTGCAGCAAACTGTGGCCCTAAACATGTGGCCCTACCCGTTTTCAAAACATGTTATTTTGGAAATGGGTATTAGCTTTTTTCAAAATATAGTCAAGCATTCTCCGCCTTCTGGGTTGTGGCCGTTGACTGGGGAATAAGGTATGCAGCTTAGTCATAAACATGGCATTATTTTAAGGTGTTGTCACCTTGAACTAATGCTATTAATTGAGTTCTGCACAGAGTGCCGAAATACAAAGGTGGTACAGATTGCAATACGTGAATTAAAGGATGCTTATAAAATGACTTCTGGGTGGCTTAGTCCTCTAGCTTCTTATATTTTCTGTTTCTAGCAAAAAAATGGACCATCCAACTAGATACCATTTTAAGGAGAGAGATTGTGCCAGTACTTGCAGGAGTTAGTGGTGGTTTTGGAGCTATGGGTTCACTAGTGAGTATGCATTAAAATCAAAATGTATTGATGGAAAAGGCTGCTTGCAGTGCCTGGAAGATGGTGTTTGGTGTTACAGATTCTGTTTGCTTAATATTAGAGCATTTATGTGTCTCTGAATCTTACGATGAGTTTCATTAGACAAAAACCTTTTGGCAGACTTATATTGTTCTTTCTTACTAATAGATGTAAGCATAGCGTAATGTAGAACGGAAGGAGCACCCTGGATGTGTCTAGCACAACCCTCTTACTCAAAGCAATATTAACTTGTCTAGTCCCGTTTTGAGTATTTCAGTGTAATAATCATGTTTATTTTCCGTTTGCAGTCTACTGCAGAAGGGTTTAAAGAAGCTGTACGATACGTCCTCCCACGACTCATGCTTATCCCAGTCTATCATTGTTTGCACTACTTCGAATTATTACAGGTAAATGAAGCCACACTCTTGTTTCCTGCCAAAACCATTTCTTAATACGGAGAATCTGGGCTTTTAAATAGGTGATTAGAGGTTACTTACTGTTTCTGAAAATTGAGAGATTAGAAAACATTCATTTGACACCAGTTAGTATAGGTCTGAAAAGTAATGTTGTATTGAAAAATGTTCAAAAGCATCTATTGCTCCAATATGGACATTTTAAATAACTGTATTTTATTAAATAAACCTTTACCGAACTTGAGTTGTAATATAGTTTAAAATTTAACATGCAAATATAATTTCTGTTTCCTTGAGATCTGATTTTTTTGTCCATTCAGAAAAAGCTACGCATAATTCAGATCAGTATTCTCAGTCTCAAGTCACACTCCAGTCGCAGCTCAGCTGGTTTTATTTTGGGGGTTGGGGAGGCACTTCCTTTCAGCAGAATCAGAATAATTCATTCTTAACGTTCACCCATTTGTCCTGAGTCCTAAGTGGAAGAAATACCACACTTTTCTCCATATTGAGGAGGAATTCAAATAAGCACTATTATTTTCTTACTTTCTACGAAATGACACTGATGAAATCTCAGGCTTTATGGAAGTCTGATTCAGATGATAAAAAGTTATTCCTGTAGGACATATTTCAGGGGTCTTACCGTACAAGTTGTTTAGGTTGGCATCTAGTCTGCATTCATAAGCAATTCTGCCTGTTGAGGCATTACTTATTTTAGAACAGCCGCGGTTGGTTTGAGTGCAAATCACTTGCACATACTTTATTGTTACGTGCACTAGCAAGGTGGTTCACATCAGTACATATTTCCCTTGGGTATAACAACTAAAAGCCAAAAAGTAACTAAGCGTGTATCTTTTTGCTTACAAGCAAATGTTTTTGCTGTGAGTTATGACAAGAGAGGCCAGCGGTCAGCAGAATTTTAACATCTGAGATCTATAATAATCATTCTTGAGTAAGAAAAAGTAATGTTGCTGTAGAAAATGCAGTCTCTTTTAAAAAGCTCAAATCTGTAAGTATTTTTCAAGTAGATGAGGATACTGTAAAAAAGGTTTGTCCCTTTGTGTTGGGAAAGTTATGCTTATAAGAGTAAGTGAATTATTAACTAACTGGGATATACTTAAACAGGTGAAATATGCTGTGGCTATAGGCTGACATTTTGAAATAGTAACAGAGATCACAGTGATACTAGCAGTGTTGTACCAGCGTGCTATATGCTCTTTGTATTTCAAAGGATTTACTTGTATAAAGGAAAAAAAGGAAACTTTGCAGCATAGACCTTGCATATAATAAAACAGAAAAATTTCTCAAAAGAATCTGAATCCAAAAAATAGCAGTTAAGACCAGATCCGTAGTTAGCACCTGGCACATAGTCCTTTTTTTCTCTTTTCTTCAATTTCAGTCTTGTTTTCATTATGACTGCTCTGATTTTTTCATGTCTTGATATAGATAAGTAAAAATAAGGATGTTTTGTTTTGACCTGTGAGTGACACATCTCCAATGTATGGTTAACCAATATTTTGTAGAAAGGTTTAAATCCAGGTGGTCTCAATAGATTTTTAATCTTTAAGCATTTCTATTAATAGTCAGTTTAGAAAACAGTTAACAAAACTTAAACAACCCCCCAAAATACAACAGACCAGCCCAAAACAACCCAAACTCTCCACCTGAAAGGAGGTTGTAGCGGGGTGGGGGTTGCTCTCTTTTTCCCAAGTAACAAGCAACAGGACAAGAGGAAATGGCCTCAAGCTGCTCCAGGGGAGGTTTAGATTAGGTATTAGGAAAAATTTCTTCCCCCATAGGGTTCTCAAGCACTGAACAGGCTTGGTGGTGGTTGAGTCACCATCCCTGGAGGTAATGTGGTGCTCAGGGACATGGTTTAGTGGTGGGCTTGGCAGTGCTGGGTTAACACTTGGACTTGATGACCTTAAAGGTCTTTTCTAACCTAAATGATTTAGTGACTCTAACAGTCAGTGAATTTTCCTCTAGATTACTGAACTGTGTCTATTAAGAACAGAAACTTTACATTGCCATAGGTTTAGTGTTTGCCTTCATAAAATTTCATAAAATTTATGTTTCTATAAGGACATCTTCCAAAAAAAAAATAAACTGATCAAAGAAGTAAAGCTCATATCTCTCATTAATATTGATAGGCTCAGGTTATACATGCATGTTTGTAAAATTCCTCATATCTTTGAAGAGTTAAGTCTGGCAGATAGTGCAAAACCATTTTGTTATTTATTTGGTTTTAAGTTGGAAAATACAGCAACGTGCTGCATGAAAGATACTCCTAGGCAATGCCTTTTTTAATTAGGGAATTTAGTGGTGAAAATGATTAAATTTGACCTTTATCCACAGTATACAAGATTTCTGAATAGAATTAGGATTCAGCTGCAGAGGCTGACACTTGACTGTCTCGAATCCTTCTAACCTTGTAAGCATGAGCAGAGCAGAAATCTTAAATATAGGGAAAAATGGTAATTGCAGAGTCTTTCGTTGTGATCACTTTAGTTGCAGGTTTAAAAATTGAATTTTATATTGTAGTTTGAAAACAAATTTGCAGCAGTGATTTTTTTTAACAAGCAGGGTGTTTTTAAGGATAAAGTATTTATTCAACAATATATTATAAATTGATGGTACTGCTTCTCTGTTATCATTGTGTTTGTCTCCAGGAACAATGGTTGAAAGAGACCTAGCAAAAATGGAAGCAACAGAATACTTAATATTTTTATGGGTTCAGTAGGGAGAGAAGCTAAGATTGAGACTGTTACTCTTAAAGTTACCCAAAAAACCCTAGTGGATTGGGAGGTAAATAAAATAATGAATGATTTACAGAAGTGCAGGCCTCGATGTTTGCTCTTTTACAAAACTAAAATGAATGAAAGTGTAAAAAAATTTTGTAGATCTTTTCTCACTGGTGTAAAAACCTGTTTGTACAGCCTCTGTTGCAGGACTTGCATCAGAAATTCCTTTTTGCACAAGCAAGAGGCATAAGGGCTGGATGTCATTTGGAGACACCATGTTGGAATAGTTTGGTTTGGCAGGTTTTCATGACTCTGTAGAGGTCACCAGCAAATGCTCTTTGAACACCTTAAGTCAGGTTATTGTTCAGGTATTGACAGAAATGAACCTGCTGTAGGTTGATTTGGAAGGAATGATGATAGCACAGGTTGAAGGAAGTCATGCTAAAGAGGTAAAACAATCTTGAACAGAAAATTAGTAGTAGCAATCAAAAGTTGTTAGGTCTTGCAAACAGGTAAGCCAAGTACATTCTAGTTGTGTGCTGGCACAGGGTGCCCAGAGGTGCTGTGGCTGCCCCATCCCTGGCAGTGTTCAAGGCCAGGTTGGACGGGGGTTGGAGCAGCCTGCTCTAGTGGAAGATGTCCCTGCCTGTGACAGGGGCTTGGAACTGGATGATCTTTAAGGTCCCTTCCGACCCAGACTGTTCTGTGATTTTGTGATTCATCAGACTTTTAAGGTCAAGGTGTGTTTTTGTAAATGTGTCTGTTGATACCAGAGTTCCAGGAAACATTAAATGCAGTGCAAAGAACTCAAGGGGTCATATAATCCATCCAAATCCCAAGCAAGATGTCAGTTAGGTGTACCATTACCTTATCTGAAGGTAAGCAGAGGTCTGTTTGAGTCCAAGAAGGCTGTTATGTATTGAATACAGAGTATATCCTTCCTTCTTATGTGACTTGCAGGCACAAGAATTAGGGATATTCTTGCATGTGACTCACTGTGTTGTTATTAAGCAACCCAAAACATGAAAGTCAGCCTTCCGATCTTTTCTGCTGTTACCTAATCATTGACTGACAGAGAAACCCTGGTCAGTATTCCACAGGATCACCACGGTATAATTTTAAGTTAACAGTGTTCTTTATTACTATTTTCTGATTATTTTCTGTGCCATAAATTGAATGGTTAATATTCTCAGTTTTCCCTTTTGTGAAGATTTACATATCTTCTCTGATTAGCAAGCATGGTACACTTCTGCATCTGGTGTTTAATTGGAAAAATGCTTGTTAAGAACTGGCATTTGGAAAACCAGATGTTAGTCCAGTGATTACAGAGAATGAGATAGCTTCAGGTGATCTGCCTGATCTTCAGGAATCCGTGCATTACATTGTAGAAACAGATTAGATTACTTTCAAATACACATGTGTGGTTGGTGGGTTTTTTTTCCTTTTTAATACAAAAAAAGAGCAAAACTTGCCATTTGATATCTATTAACTGCAAACACAGCTCCATTTGGAAAGGGGATGCAAGAAATTCTGCTCCGCACAAGCAAGGAGAAAGTATTTTATCAGACTTAGTAGCTTTTCCCACATTTAGGATTTTGCACTTGTCATCTTTTCATACCATTTTTGTGTCCTTTGCATTTCTGTGGAGGAAAGGTAAGGAGAAGAAGGGTTTCCACAGAGATAGACAGCTTATTTTTCCCTTCCCTGTACTGTTCCTCAGCTCTTAAACTTCCTGAAAATTTTTGGCCGTGAAACTTTCATTTCTCTAATATGCAAGATGGAGGTTGTTTGGGCATGTGAAAAATAAAACTTTTAATAATATAAATTACGTTAAGAGAGTGGACCAATCTGGTCAAATCCTGTTCTCTTAATTACTTTTAGAGGAAGCTACATATCCTTGCTGAGGGAACATAGTGGGGAAAGGAAAAGAAGGCTTCTGCCATGCTGAGTGATTGTAAGTAAGATTTCTCTTAAAGTATGTAGGTAAAACAAACTTTATCCAAAACTGCGTGGCATTTTGTCTAGATTTTGCTCAACGATCTATTTGCTTGAATTTTCTTCTGAAAAGTTTGTAAGATCTTGAGCATGAAAGGGATTAAAAAGAAAAATCTTATTTCTTTATATTGGTACTACTTTAGGAGTGATCACCTTAAGGAACCAAAAAGAGGAACTCTGTGAATAGGCTTTGCTCAAAGCATATTGCTACAAAGTGTATAAAAAGCCTGTTGAATTTCCTAATTCAGAAGGTTTCTGCCTAGTGGTGGTGACCTCGTCTTTATAAAAAGGAAATACGTAGATTCTCACTGTCTCTATATTTTGTTATTAGTCACAAATTTTGAATTTCAGACTTTTTTTTTTTCTATGTTAGTTTGCATCATGCAAAATTGACATTTCTACTTGAAATAGATGTGTTTGCTCAAGATGGCAGAATTTAGAATGGTAAGAAGCAAAGAGAGAATCTTGGTCATTCCATCTTTTAAATTTGCTCTGTAACGTTGAGCTTGACTCATTGAAGTAATACTACACATAGTTACATAAAGCAGCATTTAATTCTCATCTATTTCAAACTTCCAAACTACTTAATAATATCAGTCACGACACAGGACATGGTTGAAAAGATAACGGGAAAACCAGTATCTGACAGTTTGTGTTGGCTCTCAGTAAAAGGGGAAAAGGTTATCTTTCTAAACTCCCGCCTGCACTTTCCTATTATCTACTGACTTTTTCTATCTGACAAATGTTTTTTACTACATGCATAGCTAGTTTTGAGTCTGCTTCTTGTAATAATGTTGTATCAACTTGAAGTCACTGACTTCACTGAGTAGTGTGGATAACACTGTGTAAGAATGTTTGTCAGTCTTCCAGCCTTCTATAAATTAGACAAATCTGAAAAAAAAAATGTTTATTCTCTCACAGCAATTGCAGTAATGCAGTGAAGATGAAGAGGATCGGGAGTGCTTAAAACAGGCCATTACTGCTCTTCTGAATCTGCAGTGCAGCATGGAGCGCATTTACAGCAAACACTCCCCAAGACGTCGGCCTGGGTAACAATCCACAAAACTGCTCTGGTTTCCCAGAGGTGACAGAGAAGGAGATAAATGATGTGGAAGGAATTGTAACTTTTTTCTTGTTAGATAATGTGTATATATTTCCTTTTCAAGGCATGTCTTTATGCCAGTTTTCTTTGTAAATAGAGTAGCAGCCCAAAACCTTCATGGTCCACTTCTATGAGTAATGTCAGTATCATACTCCTTCCCTAGCCAAAACAGTGCATGTGGCTTATTTGGAACAGTAAGCTTGGTTAGGGCATATTTAGTGCAAAGAAATAATGACATAATTAATTTACTTGAGATTTTTGTGTGTGTGTGTGTGTCTTGGGATGGCAAATGTGGAATGTGCCCATCATGACCTTTTTTTTAATTCATTCAAGGGAGCCAGTCTGTCGCTTCTATCACCGACAAATAAGAAGCAAGCACTTGGCCATCAAGAAAATGAATGAAATCCAGAAAAATATTGATGGCTGGGAAGGCAAAGATATTGGGCAGTGCTGTAATGAATTCATAATGGAAGGTAGCTTGACGAAAATAGGAGCCAAACATGAACGGCACATCTTTCTCTTTGATGGTTTAATGATCAGCTGTAAAACTAATCATGGTCAATCACGGCTTCCTGGTTACAGCAATGCAGAGTATAGACTGAAGGAAAAAATTGTCATGAGGAAAATACAGATTATTGACAAAGATGACACATCTGAATATAAACATGCTTTTGAACTGGTGTCTAAAGATGAAAACAGTATACTGTTTGCTGCCAAGTCTGCTGAAGAGAAGAGTAACTGGATGGCTGCTCTGATTTCCCTCCAGTATCGCAGTACTCTCGATAGGATGCTTGATTCAGTGTTACTGCAAGAAGAAAATGAACAGCCACTGAGGTTGCCCAGCCCAAACGTGTATCGTTTTGTAGTGGAGGACTCTGAAGTGAATGGAATTCCTATCATCAAAGGAGGAACAGTGGTGAAATTAATTGAAAGGTTAACGTACCATATGTATGCAGGTATCCTGTTGTACCTTTGTTATATATATGTTTTTTAAGGTCATGCTTGTATGGGTGATGAAATTAATCCTTTTATCTCTTGTTTGTTTGGTTGGGGGTTTTTTTTTCTGTGTATAGTTAAATGTAAAGCAGAATTCCTATCATCAAAGGAGGAACAGTGGTGAAATTAATTGAAAGGTTAACGTACCATATGTATGCAGGTATCCTGTTGTACCTTTGTTATATATATGTTTTTTAAGGTCATGCTTGTATGGGTGATGAAATTAATCCTTTTATCTCTTGTTTGTTTGGTTGGGGGTTTTTTTTTCTGTGTATAGTTAAATGTAAAGCAAGATTTGCAGAAAAAACCCCACCAGTATCTGTTGTTAAATCAACTGGCTTTGTAAGCAAAGGTGTAAGAAAACATGGGGTATGCAAGTCCTTCCCTTTCCCTTTTCCCTGTACCCCGCAAAAAAAGTACAGGTGGTCCAATAGGAGCCACTAGTATGTTTCCTGAGACCATCATGGCTCTAAAGCAGTTACAGGCTGTGTGACTCTGGAGGAAGAAAAAGGTTGGAGGTTATATTTATTATACTTCAACCTGCTGCTTTGTGAAGGCCCTCAGTAGAAAAGGATGCAAATCACAATCAGCATTTTTCAGACTGTCCCATGAAATGCTATCTTAAACCCACAAAAATTAAACCTGAAGTAGTAACATGAAGTGCTGGTAATGTTGATGAAAATGCTGGATCTTAGGTTTGGAGTGAAAAGCACATACTGAAAGGAAACACAGTGAAGCTGACACATGCTGGTGGAAGTGGTGTGCAATTTTTGTAAAACTACTCGAATAGTAATGGTTTTCTTTGTGTTTTTTTCAAAACACCCTGGTATTTAAGTGAGTCATTTTGTAAAACCGAAGGCTAGATAGTGTGAAGCTGTATATTATATTAAAAAAAAAGCATTTCCCACCTTGAAGCTCAGTGTTGATGCAACTAGTTGGTATGCAAGTAATCTGCAGTTGTGTTGTCTGTGAGTCCCAAGTAATCAGTTTCTAAAATGTGAGGGGGTTTGGTACTTGGAAACTTACTTTTTTTGTTGGAAGCACTTTTCCTGAATGAACTGATGTGTTTGAGTACTAGTTTGATAGTGTAACTTCAGTTTTTATAGCGCAAGTACTTGCCACTTTGCCCTTTGGAATCTTCAATGAAAGCATTGCCTCTTGGGTTTCCGTGTGCTTTTTCCAGTGTTTGGAGCCAAGACTAACAAAATCCTCTCCCTCAGCCTCCACAAGGGCATTTTGATGACTAACAGCATGTGGAAGGACTCTCAGCAGATCGTGGTGGTGCTTTTTGTTTGTATTTAGGTCCAGATACGATTTTTTTAAACTCTGTTGTACATTTGCGTTAGTTTGAGATGAATTTGAAACAGGCTTTGCTCCAGAACACAGGCTTTGCATTTGCAGAATGATGTCTGTCATGTCAGCAAAGTCCCCAGTTGGTACCAGGATACCATGGGAGGTAGCAGATACCGAGTTAAACTCTTGAATTTAAATCACGAGCCACTGTCAGCAGCACATTGCTTGTATTTTCTGTTTCATTGAGTGTCATTTACAAAAATAAATTAATTTCAAAAACAATATAAAGGAACCAACACAGGGTGACGAGCAGAGTAGCAGCCCCCATTTTAAGAGAACTGGAGGTCTTGTCTGCAGAGCAGATTCTACCTGCCTGTTCAGTGGTTAGAGGATGATTTGCTTTTAAAGTGTCATACAGAGTACTGAAGAGTGAATGTATATGTGACATGGAAGCAGAACAGACCAGTGCAGGACTAAGGTGCAAACTCAGCAGCGTTATCACTGAATGAGCAAGCTTGCAAGCATGTTCCTGTATATGGATCCCTTACAGATGTTGAGCAGAGCTCCGCAGGGAATTTAAGCCTTCGTAAAAGCAGTGTGCGTCTTAATCTTTTGTGGGCTTATTGGAGGAAATTTGCTGCCCGCATGTTGAAGACTGCTGGTGTAAGCTACCTGCACCTAATGCTGACAGATTCACGACTATTTGCAGAACAGCAAGAAAAAAGAAACTCCCAACAACCCAAAATCCACACTTCTGAGGAAGCATATGCACATGCACTTGTCTAGGCCTAGTTCTCCTCTAGTTCAGCATTCATTTGCTCCCAGAAGCTGCTGCATATGACACGATAGCAGAGCACAGTAGCAGTGTCTCGCTGCTGTTACCCTTCGGAGAGGGTCTGCTGCAGGGCTGTCAGGATTAGGACCAGATGTTGACCCATCATGGCTCAGAATAAAGTGACTTGTTTATCAGCTTGCTCATTTACGGTCAAAGAAACTCACAAGAGAGTGGAATCAAAAGAGATTAAGGGAACATTATTTCCCCTTTACTATTTCTAATATAGCAGAGTGGGTCTAATAAAACACGTGGTAGCTTGTGGGATAGGCACATCTCATGCAAACACACCTAAAGCAGCAGTGAGAACAGCAGGAGGGAAGTGTGGTGGCTTGTGGAGATGCAGGGCCTTGAACTGCTGCAGGTATTTGCTTTGTAAGGCCTCTGCTGCTTGTCATATTTTTGTTGCTATGGAGGGTACTTATGTGCTGCAGTGTGTGGCTGGGGCAGGTGTGCAGTGTCTGCTGCTGGAGATGTTTTAAGAACAGGTAAGACAAACATTTTGTCAGGGTGCTATAGGTAATTTTGGTGTCAGGAAAGTAAGCAGCCTACCATGTTTTCTTTGTCTTTATAAAACCATGGAATAGCTGCATATTCAAGGAATGGAAGTCATTCCACAGGCCAACACTGAGACAGTTTTTGAAAGCACATGGTGTGTGCGGTTGAATACTTTTACAGGGGAAATGCATTAAAGAACTAACTGAAAATTTCATAAGGAGTATGATTTCAGGGTGGGTTTTTTGAAATTACAGTGCTTAACTTACAGCCTTAGTGTATTTTCTGCAATTTAAACTTTTTCTGAGAATGTGTGTGTGTTTTATTCTTGATAATTTGCAATCAGATAAAAAAAAACACTCCATTTTCTCATTTATTTACAGATCCTAATTTTGTACGTACTTTCCTTACCACATACCGCTCCTTTTGCAAGCCCCAGGAACTGCTGAGTTTACTGATTGAAAGGTAAGTAGTAGACATCCTTTCTGAAGATATTGAAAGGCTTTGTGTATTTACCTGCTCCTTTTCTTCTCAGGTTCTCAGTGCCATGTGGCGCATGTTTTAGTGAAGTTTGTAAAATGGCAACTTCTAAACCAGGGTACAGCAATGCAGTTTTTAATGCAAACTTTTTCTTCCCAGTTTGCTAAATGGGTTACTTGGATGAAGTATTAGGTGGAGCACTTGGAGTGCCTCAGCTGTGGGGTGGTAATGTTTTGAACTGCTTAACTTGACTGTGAGAGTTTATTCAAGTATGCTTAAGTCTCAATGCAGATAAGAACAGAAATGGTCTAAGCAGTTTGTTTGAAAGGCACAGACTCAATGTAAACAACATTTTAATATACTGTGATAAAGCTGCTCTTAAGCTTTCTTCTAATCTTCGCTTAATCAAACTAGCAGGTAGTTAAAAACCTTATCTCCTCGTCTAGACATCTTGTGATGACCAGGAAACTAGTGAATTATCAGGGCGAGAGCTGGGTGTGTTAGCAGTGCATAGCTAGGGGAGGAGGGAATTCCAGGCCAACTGGATATTAGATGAGTTACTTGAGTTTCACCACACTATTTTATTTTTTTTTCTAACTGCAATTGCTCTTCATGTCCTACATAAAGGGTTTGTGTTTTATCTTAATTGCCATCAGTTTTTTGGTGCTTTTATTTGTAGGTTTGAAATCCCAGAGCCCGAGCCTACTGAAGCAGACAGGCTGGCAATCGAGAAGGGGGAGCAGCCCATCAGCGCCGACCTTAAGCGATTTCGCAAGGAATATGTCCAGCCAGTACAACTCAGGTTTATTTGCTTTTAAATTTGTTCTGTTAAAACCAGATTTTAGTTCACTGATTACACGGTGATCCTGGAGACAGTAATCTCTTTTGGAGACTGCTGTGCTGTCAAGTAGGGACTTAATCACTGTCTGCAACCAGACTAATATCCCAAATCATGTACTGATTAGTCATACTGACTTCTGTTGTTGTTGCAAGTGTACTTCGGTTCTCTGCCGCTGACAGCTGTGATCCCCACCCACAAGTACGCTGTATGGCTGCTATGTAAAGCAGATGTGGGTGAGAGATGTATAACTGAAAGTGTTTCTGACTGCATGTTGAATGGATTCCATGTTAACAGGCCCTATGAAGATAGTTTTTCTGTTTCCATTTTTTTCAGTCCTGCTGGTATTTTACTCCCTTTCCCTGCCCAGTTTGTTGTATTTGTACACAGACAGGGACACTCTTGTCTGTATTGCAGAGTGCAGTCTGCTGCAGTGAATCTTCAAGGTCTTGCTGACCAAGCTAACTTGGAGAACAGTTAAAAGTTCCTAGCATGAATGAGGCTAATTGTTTCCCTATAAGGGATCAGGTCGTGAGGAGACACAGATCATGATCAGTTATTTGTTAGAACAACTTGTATTCATTAAACAGTTTTTGTTAGTAACGTGAAGATGTTACTATGAATGGTAGATAACTGTACGCACAGTACCCACAGTTGTTCCATTGCCACACAACAGTCATTCATAGTTACCTGTTTGGAGCAACAGCAGTTTACTCAAAATAAAGGATTGTACTGACATGTCAGTACCTTCAAGGTAGGTGTTTAGAAAGTCACTTAGGCATCCCTTTGTCATCAGATACCTGGGCGCATATATATATACACACACGTATATTTTAAAAATTATATAAGTATGTATAATTAATAATAACTACTAATACTGTAGATTTTGTCGATATATAGCTGCCATCACATTCTTGGATGTGGTCCAAGTTCTACAGCCTCAGTGTAACCTTGATACTTGTGTGTGCTCATGGCCTTGTATGGATTCATAAGGCCGTTAGTGTTCTCAGTTTATTTTTTTTTCAGCAGGACCACTAGTCTCCACAGTTATCAGTCTGCGGAGAGCTTCACACGCTGCCTCTCAGCATGTACTTTTTTTGGTTTCAGCTTGCTATTTTCCAGTAACTGTTTCTGTATCCATCCATGTAAGTGCCTGTGGAGCCCCTTCATAGCAACTCACATGGAATGGGCTTTTGTGGCATAACTGGCTGAAGAGTTGTTGTATTGCTTTTGTTGCTATTTTTTACAGCCTCATCTGGCTTGCAGTTGCTTGGAGACCTCCTCACAGTGCCCCTTTGCATGGTACAAATCTTTGTGCTGGCTGCCATAGCTAAGTAGGACAAATGGTTACCGATGAACTGGAACCTGTAGAAAAGCTTGAGATGGCAATTTCTTGCTATTAATTTTCAAAAACAGTTTATCACTTTTGCATTTGTATGTTATTTTTGAGCTGCTTGAAATCTGTTCCATGTTCTGAAGTTTCCAGGTTCTTTGGATTTGGTTCCTGGTTTCTTTCCTTGTTTGAGAGATTAAGATACTTCTTACTATGATAGTTACTCCTTGCAGTCTACTTCATGCTGTGGTTGGTGAGCTGAGTTCGCTTATGCCTGCTTGATGAGACTTGTGGTTTAAAGCTGCTATTTAACACACCCCCTTCTGTGCCTTATAGTTAATCTTTGACTTTAGGAAATACTACATGTTTCTAGTAGCTTGAAACTCTTAGTTGTCTTACAGCTGAAAACAAGTGTCTGAAAAATTAAGTGTCTGAATGTGAGCTGGTAGGCTGATATGCCCAGCTCTTTGTAAATTCCAGTATTGTTGGTAGCATTGACCCCTACTTCAGAGAGATCTGAGATTTGGGAAGAAGGTGGAGAACATGAAGATACTCATTCCTCCCTCCCTTCACTCCCCAGCACTTACACCCCATCTTGTAGAAAATGCTGTAGACATGCTGTGCAATGCACAGGTATGGAAATGGCAATGTCTTTGACTAGATTAAATACACGTGAGTTCATGAGAAAGAGGAGGTGCTGAGCTGGAAATGCAGTCAGCAGAACCAGGCAATCTTTCTTGCTTTTGCAGTGTTCCTACCACAGTATCGCAAAGGCAAAGACTGATTAGATAAGATTCTGTATTACTGGAAACTTGGATCAAAACTTCACTCCTTTGACAGTTACAAGCTGTCACTGATTTCCAGCCTAAATGATCTGTTTGGGTAGCTGTTTTCTTCATGGGACCTTATTCCTTAACTTATATACTGGGAAGAGGAGAACTATTTTAACTTCTCCATGTATCCACGTAGAGTGCCCTTCGTTTGGCAAAGCTAAACCAGAAACTTCTCTACTGCTCTGACTCACAACAATTACAGATTACAATCAGTTGTCTGCCCTGTCCCGCTCAGATGTTCTTGTCCCTGATCTACAGAGCTGAGCCACCAAAAGTAATAATCTGATACACAATTATCCCTGGTTTATTTTAATATCCTAAGCTGCAAAGACTAGAGGAGTTCAGCAGCACTTGACTTATGGCCGAGCTACTTCTGCAAAGGCAATGGGGCAGGAGTAACCACATCTCACTGTAGCCATCTCTGCTGAGTCTGAGGGCTCTCCATTAATCCCATCACTCTGTCCCACCTGTTGAACTGGCACAGGGAAAATCTGTTGTACTAGCTGATGTCAGAGATTTTTGCTCACTCTTCAGGAAAAGTGATATGCTGCACCTCGATCAATCAAAGTTTTGAGGTGTAAGCTCAACTTGTTTGAAGAGGCAAACAGGTTTTTATTCTGATACATCCTAAGCAAAAAAGGTAGAAGAGCAGTTGTGGTTCACTTTTACAGGCTTGTTTATTAGTGGTCTGTTAAGAAAGCAGAGAAAATTCAAGAGAAAGTTTTGTGTTACCTGTAAAGGAAGTACTGGATCTAGTATGGCCATTTGTGTAATTAAAAAGTTGTGAAAGTAGAGCAGTATACTTACAACAACTTCTAAACTGAAATTTGTGTACAGGAAAGAAACAACTACAAATTGTTTCTTACTAAATGGGAAAACCTAGTTAGCTTTTTTTAGTTAAAAAAACCCTGTAGATTATATTAGAAATAGCAGTTTTGTCTGATTTGGTACATTTTTCCTCTTCTGAAACCACCTCAACGTTAGCATTCTTTATATAAGATTTAGAACCCCCCACCAAACATACATACATACATACATACATATATATATATATATGCTAAGACTGGAAAAAATGAGGTTTTAATTACATGGGGACATCTGTGGTCATTAGTGCCATGCTTAGTCTTTGTTCTGCCCCTTTGTCCATATGCATTTTGATAGTTGTCAACTACACGAATCTGTAACTTGGCTTTTGTAGAATTGTGTTTCATTTGGTGTATACATGGGATGAGCCTTGGAAGTCCTTAAAAACAAACTTTTTTTTTTTTTCCTCTTCTCTCTCCTTCCTCAGAATATTGAATGTTTTTCGTCACTGGGTAGAGCACCATTTTTATGATTTTGAAAGAGATCTGGAATTACTAGAGAGATTGGAGACATTCATTTCCAGTGTACGAGGTATGGTAAATGGTGGTCCCGTTTTTCTTCCACATTTTGTACAACCTGCTGGTCTAACCCTGACAGATTTTAAGCATGAGAATATCTTTACACACCTGAGTAATTGTAATGCCTTTAATTGAGCTGTTTATGAGACTCTCCTTTACATAAGCAAGCTTTTTGCCTGGAGCCTAAACCACTACCAAAAATTACTTCAAGCGTTACGATATTTACTTCTGGACAGTAATGTTCATCCTTGTCTGACTGTAATTCAGACTGTCACCTTCCTCCTCCCTGTGTTGTATTTGTAGAGAATTCCTTCCCTGTTGGTTACTGAGACTAATTTTTTCCAGCTTGTTCTTCTCCCATTTATTAAAAGTTCCAGCTGAAAATCATTATCCTTTTAGGAGATGATACTTGACCCATTTGGTGTCACTTCCTCTGGAGCAACCCCTTACAAACACACAGGTTTTTTTGTCAGCCTATGTGGAGGGCAACAGTGTTAGCATGTCAATGTTAATGATATCCTGGCAAAGCTAGACTTTACTTTTCAGATTGCCAGACCATACATTGGGCAATATAATTCTGAGACAAACTTAAGAGGACGGTAGTTTATCTTCTGCAGAGGCCTCTGTGCTAACAATTGCTGACCAGAAAGGCATAATTCAATTTTGGTTAGTCTCTGAAAAGGTATTTGTCTTGAACTGCTTCAGGTGCTTCCTGTCTTGTCCACTATTTTGTGTACTGTAAATGTTGGCCTGATATTGTAAACATGTATTTCTCCAATCTTTTTGTCCTGCAGTGCACAAGGGCAGCATGTTGCAAAGTTCGCACTTGAAGCTTGTTTACTTTTTTTAGTAGTTCTCCTCTAGGTAGGTGAAGCTAGCAGTCAAAGTGGAGATGGTTGCAGCTGAGGGGAAAAAGTAAAATGTAGTGGATATAGGGTCACTTTTTTCCACACCAAAACTGCCAGTAGATGTGGTTAAATGCGAGTACCCAAAAATTAGTTCACATGTCTGTATTTGCCAACTAATGCAGGTGCAAGAACCCCTGAGAAGAAAACAGGGAACTACAGAACTACAAACCTAATTAATGTACTTGCAGAAATACAGACTGCTGAATGCACATACAAATTTTTGGGGGGTTGGTTTCATTACATTTTCAAAAGTCATTGAAGATCGTACTAGAAAAGTGGCAGGGGTTCTATGGTTTCTATTTTGCAGGAAAATCCATGAAGAAGTGGGTGGAATCAATTGCTAAAATCATCAAGAGAAAGAAAGCTCAAGCAAACGGAATTAGTCACAATATCACCTTTGAGAGCCCGCCTCCCCCAGTCGAGTGGCACATTTGGCGTGTTGGGCACAGTGAAACACTGGACCTCATGACTCTGCATCCTATAGAGATTGCTCGACAGCTCACGCTTCTCGAGTCCGACCTCTACAGGTAGGGATCGAGCTAAGACGTCTTTCTTGGATTGAGTGAGAAAGAGTTGCAATTCATACAGTCAGTCAAAAGTATGTCCCCTTGACTTTCAGAGCTTATTGAACAGATGGCAAGTTAGGATTATCTACTCGTAGTATTTTAGGGTCCTTCCTGTACTTACTTATGTTGTCAGGAGTCTGATATGGAAATAAAAAAAAAACTTTTTTTTTTCCTTTTTATAATACTAACTTGTATTGTTTCCTTGTTAAGAGCAAACTTAGTGCTACATTAATAAGAAATGCTCGTTGCGTCATAAAAAGAGAACAGAATTATCTCTGCTCCTGTCCTTTATAGCTGTATAGCAAAGGCCCAGGTGTTACATGTGTATAACCACAGCACTGGGGCATCAAGGTCCTCCAATTCTGAAGAGCTGTTTTTTTTTGTCTGGTACTATAAGTATTCTGCTGATTCCTAGCTCTGTTGTTACCTGTGATAAATAGAGCTGGCCTTGATGTGAGAGCTGGGTTGTGCTGGGTAGAAATTCTTTAAGGTCGTAGAAAACTCGAAGATGAGGCATCCTTTTGTGCTTCACACAGCAGGCTTTCTATTGAAATAGGCGACTTTTCCAGCAGGTTGGTCGAAGTACTTCAGCTTCCTATTTTAAAACTGTAGCTGTGCTTAAGTTGCTGTCTTACATTTTCTGGAAATTAAACTTACTCCTTTGTAATTGTCTTATCTGAAAATACTTATTCAAAAATGCCAGTTTCAATCAAGATAAAAGTGTATTTCCTTCTATACTCAACTACTCGGCAAAAAGTTATTTTACGTAACTGTTTTGCAGTAGATTAGATTGGATTGTATTTGTGAAATACCAATTCATGGCTAAGGGAAGAAATAATCTTTTAATGCAAACACAGAACATACAATTATTATTTGTATTGAGCGTTCTTCTGCATCTTGCTTTGTCGTTATCAGGGCAGTACAGCCTTCTGAACTCGTTGGTAGCGTGTGGACTAAAGAAGATAAGGAAATTAACTCCCCAAATCTGTTGAAAATGATTCGTCATACTACAAATCTTACTCTTTGGTTTGAAAAGTAAGTACTGGGAGAAATCAGTCACCAGTTCCAATTCCCCACCCACCCCTCTTCCTCGAGGCTCAACTTCACTCCCAATTTTCTCTACCTCCTCCCTGTCAGTGGTGAGATGGGGAATAGGGGTAGTGGTCAGCTCACCACACTTTGTTTCTTCTGCTCCTTCCTCCTCAGGGGAGGACTCCTCACACTCTTCCCCTGCTCCATCGTGGGCTTCTCATGGGTTCATAGCATCCTTTGGGCATCCCTCTGCTCCAGTGTGGGGTTCTCCATGGGCTGCAGGCGGAGATCTGCTCCACTGTGGACCTCTATGGGCTGCAGGGGCACAGCCTGCCTCACCGTGGTCTTCACCATAGGCTGCAAAGGAATCTCTGCTCCAGCACCTGGAGCATCTCCTACCCCTCTTCCTCATTAACCTTGGGGTCTGCAGGGCTGTTGCTCTCACATATTCTCACTCTTCTCTCTGACTGCAAATGCTCCTGCACAGTAACTTTTCCCCCTTCTTAAATATGTTATCCCAGAGGATACAAGGGAGAAGTTTATCCCTGTGAGGATGATGAGGTGCTGGCACAGGGTGCCCAGAGAAGCTGTGGCTGCCCCATCTCTGGCAGTGTTCAAGGCCAGCTTGGACGGGGCTTGGAGCAACCTGGTCTAATGGAAGATGTCCCTGCCCATGGCAGGGGGGTGGAACTGGATGGGTTTTAAAGTCCCTTCCAACCCAAACCATTCTATGATTTTATGATTAAGTACTTCTGAGGACATGGCCAATGCTGGAATGAGAAGGGTGTAGCAGCTTCCAAGTGTACAAGCTAGCAAGTTTAAAATGCTGCTGTAGATAGAGTGGCATGAGAGTCACCCTACTTCCCCTGGATCTTACTTGGGATTTGCTTTATTATTTTACAGGATATGCCAAAACCTTTCTTGGCTTTCCAACTTGAACATATGTAAGACGTGATTACATAAATTTGTACTTGAGATTCTTGAAAGAGAGCCAAATGTGCATATTGGATGTACTGAACAGTGTTTGCTTGGAAAATTTTGATTTAGTAGCTAGCAAAATGTCAGGTTTTATTTATCAGTGTTTCTCAAATTACATCTTTTGATTAGGTGCATAGTGGAAACTGAGAATTTTGAAGAGCGAGTGGCTGTGCTGAGTAGGATTATAGAAATCCTGCAGGTTTTTCAAGATCTGAATAATTTCAATGGTGTTTTGGAGATCGTCAGTGCAATGAACTCTGTGTCAGTGTACAGACTAGATCACACATTTGAGGTAAGTTTTGGGCACTGCTCTTGGGGAAAAAAAATGAAATCATTGGAATCCAGAAATGTAACACACATTTCAGAAGTGAAATCTGTAGTATCCTTATCACACTCACTACCATGGAAGAAAATAAGTGTGAAATGTTCAAAGTTATATATATGCAAAAGCATACGACGAGCTGGGTGTCTCAGGGGGCTTGTAATGGGAAGTGGAGCTTTCCAGCAGATGCTTTCTCACATGTATTCAGCCCTAGAAGGGGAGGTGCCACAACCACTTGATCGCTGTTTGTTAACCTGTCTGAAATTAACCTCTTGCTTCAATGCAGCATTTTATGGGTATGAAAGAGGAGCATCCTAGGGCTGAGAACCTTGTATTGAATGACTTTAAAGAGCATTTCCTATCTATGCAAGAAATGGGGGAGTGGAAGAGCATGAGGAGGGGATAGCTAAAAATCAGATTTCAGTTCATCACAAGAACTTCTCTTTGACGAGAAAGTCTCAGAAAATTCAGTCATCAGAGGCAGAAACAAGTAGCTGTTGAAACAGTTTAAATGGTCAGTAGGAAGAGAGGCTACTACACAAGTAGTAATTCTGTTCTTCAGTTTCCAAGGAAAAGAAACACCTAGGATTTGGCAGCAAAGCCTCCCTTGACTAAAATAGAAAAAGAAGCATGAATAAAAAGTTTTGAGTTTTGTATGTCTCTGAAAGGTATATGAGGCCTTTCAGTTAAATTCAAAGTTAATGTTGAGTTTTTAATAAAGACCAAGATTATGCTTCTGAGTTGATAGACAAACGAATAGTCTGTGTACAGCAGCCTCATGATTCAAATCTGAATTTCAGTTCCTATGTTTTGCTGAGAGAGCTAGGGAATTGCCTTGTTTTTGCTGACTGTGCTATTGAGATTTGCATCCCTGGGTTTTCTTCTTTGACAACTTAGGCGCTGCAGGAAAGGAAAAAAAGAGTTTTGGATGAAGCAGTAGAATTAAGTCAAGATCACTTCAAGAAGTATCTAGCTAAGCTCAAGTCAATCAATCCACCCTGTGTGCCTTTCTTTGGTAAGTAATGCCAGGGCAGGCTGATACTGTGTGTATTGTCAGGCTTAAGTTGAGTTTGGTGCAGATGTGTTAATATTGCTTGACATGTTCAGGGTTGTGTTAGCTCTGAAAAATCTGTAATATGTGTGACTTTTGGCTTCCGAGGTTTGTAATGTTTTTAGACTTCATGGAATGTCTGTGGAGGGAATGTCCTGTGGGTTGGAAGGGACGTTAAAGGTCTCCTATTTCCAACCTTCCTGCCATGGGTAGGAACACTTTCCACTAGATCAGGTAAAAGATGCAGTGTCTTTTATATAATATTTATGTTTCTAGTTTAGTATATGGATTACCAGTGTTATATTGGTATGAATATTCCCTTATTTTGTTTAACACTGCTGCCACATTTGTGATCTCTTTGTGGCAATGACCTGAAGATGTTTTTTTCTAACCTCTGCATCTCACATGAGGGAGATAAAACATCTTATTTTAATATATTGTTCCCATGTAAAATGCAGACTTGGTTCATTCTTACCAGCTAATAAACTGTTGAATGGTCTACTTATGTTCATGCTTTTTTATTGTTCATTAGAAAGAGTGAAATTAGAAATCAGAAAATTAGAAAGAATGAAAATGAAATTTAACAAATACTTCTCTCTTTATCAGGAATATACCTAACAAATATTTTGAAGACAGAAGAAGGGAATCCTGACTTCCTTAAAAGACAAGGGAAAGAATTAATTAACTTCAGTAAGAGGAGAAAAGTGGCTGAAATTACAGGAGAAATTCAGCAGTATCAAAACCAGCCTTACTGTTTACGGATAGAGCCAGAAATTCGGGTAATCAGACATTAAATATCAGTTTGGGAATAGGAGGGGGAAAAGAACGTACCAACAAAAAATTGGCACATAATCACAGAATCACAGATTGGTTTGGGTTGGAAGGGACCTTAGTAGTTCCAACCCCCTGCCATGGGCAGAGACACCTTCCACTAGAAAAGGTTTCTCCAACCCCCATCCAACCTGGCCTTGAACACTGCCAGGGATGTGGCAGACACAGCTTCTTCTAACCTGTCTTCACAATCTTCTAATTCTAGACCTAATCTTGCATGAACAGTGACCATCAGAAGAGGGAGGGAACAGAGGCTGGATTGACAACAAAGTACCACCACAAAGGGAGTAGCCAGAAGTGGGGATTTGTTTACTTGGATTCCATGTTCTGGGTCTTCTTCATCCCCTTATTGTTCTGCAGTGTGGTATCAGAGATTTCTTAGCAGCAAAACACAATGAATAAGTCATACTGACTAAACAGCAGAACTTTTTGAAGAAAAATTGGTTGCCTTTAACCCAAAACTCCCTGTATGTGCCTGGTGTGTTTAGTCCTTCAGACAAACATTCTGTAATGACACCTCTGACCAAAGTCTCCTGACCCTGCTAGCAGTCACTACACACTAGTTCAGCACAAATATGAATGGTCATGCAGCGTGGCAGAAGCTAAGCAAATGTGGAGGTGCCAGTGTCAACTAGCATTATCTTCAGAAATGAGAGTGGATACTTACCCAAGAGAAAAGACTAGTGAATCCCAGATAATATAAAGGAATTTAGAGGAAGATGCAGAAACAGGGAGAGCTAGGAAACAACAGGATTTTTTATGTGGAGGTACTAATGATTGAAAAGAAACAGCTTTAAGTGCCAGCCATACTTCCTGAGTGTACAGCTAATTGTAACCTTTCCAAAAAGCTGTGTGGACAGCTCTCAATCTCACTAGTGAGCAGCAGCAGGCAGGAAGCAAAAAAGAAGTTTGTTACATGAAGAATTAAATGGGCAGTAATACCGCTGTTTAAAATGCTATTTGCATTGTGTTCAATTGCTGTGGATATGTCTGGGAAGGTTTTAGGAGATTGAGAGTATTTATAAGCCAAGAAGTACCTTAAGTTCAAGGGATGGCAGTGTTTGCACTGCAAAAAACAACAAATGGAAATGCTGTAGCTCACCACCCATAGACACCCACTGCAGCAGGAGCAGCTAGTGCAGGGTGGTCAAGCATTCAGGGAGCTTTGTCCTGTCCCATGTCCTGCCCCCAGTGCCAGTCCTGTCTTTGCCATGCCTTCCCTCCAGTCCTCGTGCCCCAGTGCCATGCTCTATCCCTGCCTCTGACCTTCCTGCTTTTGTCCTCTGTCCCTTCCTGTTCTTTGTAGTTAATTGATCATGTCCAAAGCACCTCTAAGAAACAGCGATAGCAAAACCTTTGCTTCCTCTACTGTATCATTATATTCTGCTCCTTCCCACACCTGTGATGTTAAGGCAAGCACACGGGATGTGTTGCACAGCTCTTAACACTGCTGTGTTCTGCATGATTCACTAGTCAAGAACATTAGCAAACAACTTACAGATTTACCATGCCTAGTTATTTGGCACAGTCATTCTTTCATGTCAGAAAACTTACTGGGAACCTTGTTTCTTGCACTGGATTGTTTTTTATTTATTTCAGGGAATGTTTTCCTCTGTTTTCCCTGAAAATAAGGTTCATAATAATGCACAGCTAGAAATTTAATCGGTGAATTACGAGCACTTCATTAAAATTCTGTGTATATGCTTATTTTTAAAATATTATTGATGCTTGTTTCATTTAGAAATTCTTTGAAAACCTCAACCCTATGGGGAAGATACCAGAAAAAGAGTTTACAGATTATCTGTTCAACAAGTCATTAGAAATTGAACCTCGGAACTGCAAGCAACCACCTAGATTTGTAAGTCTTGTCTTGCACATTAAACAGTTAAAATCCGGTAGCCACTATGAAAAAGAATAGCTATCAATAAGCCATATATGTGCCCTTTAGAATCATGAGATGATTTTCCAGCAAAACTTAATTTAAAATACTCGTTTCAGATGAAATTTTTTTTCTGCAGTCTAAAATACTACCATCTAAATTTGTGTGTCCAACCATATAGTTATTTGATAGACTATGTGATAACATTGCTTTTTCACAGTATCAAAAAATCTAACAAAATGTTAATATTAATTGAAATATAGTTTTTATGCATAATTACTGTGTTTCCTTTAAGTAGAAGTTAATTTCCTTTTTTATTTTGTCTAAATGTTTTGCATTGTTGCAAAAATTGAATTGACAAGGTGCAACCTTGTTGCTGAACAAAATACAGTTCAATTTAAAGGAGGAGCAATTTAGGTTTTTTAAAAAAAATAGCTACTGGAGCCCAGGCTTCTTTTTTAAGCAGAAAGATTGCTCTCTAGCACAGTTGTCTTTTATACATTGTAATTGTACTGCAGAGTAGCTGGCGACATCTCTAATTTTTGGGAGAGTTATAAATCATTTTAGCAATCTCCTGTTAGAGGAATGAGTAAGATGAAAAATGTGGCAAAAGCCTGACAGAAATTACTGTTGCAAAAATGCTGCTGACAGTAATTTCTCTAAAATATTTTCTAAAAATAGATATCCATGCTGCTAGTCTTGGGCAGCTGGGCATGAATTCTTTGTAGTTCATGATTTCCAAACCAGACATTCTTATTGGAATTTCAGGAAAGTCCAGTTCTGGGTTCTGTAATGTGGTGGAGTCATGTATACCACCATAGGATGGGAATGTAATTTATCTTGAAAGAATCAGCTTTGATCTGTGCCATGTTACACCTGAGTCTAATGAGTCTTGTTTCACTCACACCAGTGATGTGTGTATGTAAGAATTTTGTCCTGACTAACCCAGAGGATGTAGTCGACAGGCATCTGAGTGTGTCCTCGATCTTGGACACGTGTAGGGCCCTGGTGACCTGAGGTACAAGCACAAAGCACATCTTACAGTGCTGTTATGAGACTCTTCTGCAGGCCTGTGGGGGCACTTGACATTACTCTCTCCCCTCCAAGGCTGTGAGTTGCTCTTCCCTGTGTTCTGTCCTGACTGGCATGCATCTGAAACGTGACTCTTTATAGCTGTGGAAAAAAAAAAAAAGAGAATTATTAAACTGGAAAAAAAAAAAGACTTACTAAGCTGCATCCTGCTGTATAGTGAACGACAGACTGTACCTCAAGTCAGTTCTAGAAAGGCTGTACTACTTTTTAAGGTGTATTTGAGAAGTACTTTTTAAAATAGCTCATAAAGACTTGGCAATCTTGCTATCTGAAATGTTAGCAGTACTAACCAGCTTTACTTTCTCCAGCCTAGAAAAACAACCTACCCCCTGAAGTCTCCTGGGATAAGGCCCAATACTGGCAGACACAGCTCCACCTCTGGCACCTTGAGAAGTCATCCATTGCCACTTGAAAAGGAACCAAGTAAGATAAGTTTCAGTAGAATCACTGAGGCAGAGCATGAATCAACAGTATCGGCACCAACTTCACCGAACACACCGTCTACACCACCAGTGTCTGCTTCTTCAGAGTTCAGTGTGTTTTTAGACATTGACCTCAACAGTTCTTACGGTAAATGTGCAGTATGGTTTAATAATGGCTGTTAATGTCCTTCAGGCTTCCAAAATGTATTGGTGTGTACATCAGCATTTCACCAAAAAAAAGTTGCCAAATTTAGTTGTGGACTGTGAAGTTCTTGTGTCAGTGTTTTGTGTACTGTGATTTACTGGTTTACCATGTATGGCACATCCGTGGCAAGAGTTGCAGAGGAGCAGGCATCCACACCAGTGCATGTTTCAGGAGTGGTCCTGTGGACTGATTACACACTACTGATTCTGATCTAATGTCCTCTGAAGGGAATCCAGTCTGTGTGTTTTGAGATGTGAACTGAAGTGCCAGACTGGGGATGGTCAGGGCACTCCCTCCAAAATGCAGTTTTGATTTAAAAAATGACACTATTAGTTCATATGCACCACTACACTCCCAAGCTTTGCTTGTAGCTGTGAGCAGCTCCGTAGTCTTGAAAACATACATTACGTGCTGTAGTGCAGCTCTTCTGTATGGAAAGCCTTTAATTGATTTTTCCTTTAACAGGAAACAACAGCATCTTTGCTCCTGTCAGTTTGCCACAGTCAAGTGAGTACCATAACTCTATTAAATGTTTCATTTCACTCTCCTTTTCCTGGTTTCAGGATAACTGAATGGGAATTAAACTCTGAAATCCAGGATGAAAATGCGGGCTGTATTCATTAGGGATTTTTTTTGTACAGGTTTTAGATCAAATGTCCAGTAAAAATGTAAAGTCTAAAAACCATCTGGTTTAGTTTTATTCTGTTTTTTTCCCAGGCTCTAGCATGATTTTGTTTCTATTTTGAATGCCCCTGATGATGCTAATTGTCACTAATGCTACAAATGAAGCAACTCAGTAATTTCATATTACCACTTAGTGAAAATAACTGTGCTGTTGCTGGGAAAGATGAGGTACTTTTTGTACCCACCACAGCGGTGAGGGATATCCTGTATTCATCTGGTTTCAGCTTCTCGTTTTACTCCTTTATTACATGGGCACATAGACTTTTTCAGAATATGATTAAAATTTCAAACCGGAGAGCACAGGTGCCTAATGTAGTGATACAGAGCTCTGTGCACCTCAAAGAGAAAAGCAGAGGTGTGACTGAAGTCACAAATATAGGCTGGGAGGTTGTGTTGTTTCTTAACTACGAGGATTTTTTTTTTCCCCTCTGTAAAAAGAAAGGACTAGAAATGTCCTAAAATGTTGTAAGAGTTAATACCATCTGCTCGGTTCAGTGTATAATTCTCCTGCTTTAGAAGTGTTGCATACCTGTTAATGAAGCCTCTAAATTTCCGAATTTGAACGCGTATCCATATGGCAGAGAGAAGAAACCTTCCACTCCAGAGTGGCCTGTGGGCAAACTGCAGGCACGGTGGTGAACGGGGTAGATTCTGCAATATAGAGAGGATTGCAGAGAAAGTTATTTAAGTGCTGACTCAGAGTTCACTTTATTTTCTGACCTTTAGTGTTGCCTGCTAAATGTTGATGTGTATCTTTGATACTGGAAATAGGAGACCACTTTGTGAGGTGCATATCTGACAAAAGAAATAAAGGGAAATTTCATCAAGCTGAAGTTAATGGTTCAGGTTGCTCCTGAGACAAAGATCAGCTTATTTCAGTTGCTTCTAGTTTTGCTCAATATTGTAGCATATGTTCCTCAGGTATTGCACAAGCAGTAAAATGTCTGCCTTTCTCTCTCCAGAGACTTTCTTCAGCTCATGGGGTAGCTTTCCTAAACTAAGTGATGAGCCTCAAAACCCTCCTCCACTTCCTCCACGAAAAAAGCTGGATCAGGATGCTTCTAATGCTAAGGTATTTCTGTCCTATTGTTGCGTAACTTTGAGAATAAATCAGAGAACATCTAGAATCACAGAATCATTTAAGGTGGAAAAGACCTTTAATGTTCATTAGACCTTAAGTGCCCAGGGAAGCTGTGACTGCCCCATCCCTGGAAGTGTTCAAGGCCAGGTTTGGGTGGGCTTTGAGCAACCTGGCCTACTGGGAGGTGTCTCTGCCCCTGGTAGGACTTTAAGGTCTTTAAGATGGTCTTTAAGGTCCCTTCCAACTCAAAACCATTCTATGAATCTATGATCGAGTCCAACCATCTAGACAAACAGGACTTCGTTAGTCTAAAAGACATCCAAATGCAGTTGCCCTCTTAAAGTTTCAGATTCCCAGTGTCCAAACTCTACTAGCTTCTTTAGGTTGTATCCATTTCAACGGTAGAGCTATGCCAGTGTCGTGTTTCTGAGAGCACCTGTAGCAGGTGTCAAGAGAATTCTGCATCTGTCAGAAGATCTGCTCTTTATCTAAAAATCTGCATTTCTTCTCTGTAATGTTGTAGGGAAGTTTAAAGTCAGATGATGATCCTCCAGCGATTCCACCTCGGCAGCCACCACCTCCAAAGATACAGCCTCGTGCTCCTGCTTACACTAACCCCTTTGACCAGCCACTGCACAGTCCTCCTCCTCCACCCCCCCGGGACCCTCTTCCTGATACTCCACCACCGGTACCACTCCGGCCGCCTGAACACTTCGTCAACTGCCCTCTGAACCTCCAGCTGCCGCCGGTGGGACGCTTACACAGAGATCCCGACTGGTTCAGGGAGGCGAGCACGGGCCCCAGCTCTCCCAGCACTCCTCCCAGCACACCCTCTCCCAGGGTCCTGCGCCGCTGCTGCGTGATCAGCACGAGTCACAACAACGTGGTTCACCCGCCTGTGCCCCCCGTCCCACCCCGGCACAATTCGAGCCCTCAGTTACCAAAACTGCCACCAAAGACTTACAAAAGGGAGCTCTCCCACCCTCCTTTGCACAGACTGTCTTTGCTGGAAAACGCAGAAACTCCTCAATGACCTTAGCCATAGTAGTCATTGACACTGGAATAGTATTTGTAAAGTTCCTTTTTATTTATTCAAAAAAGGCAGTGTATTTTAGTACTTTCACAAATTATGCTCTTAAAGTGCTGCTGATCAAAAACAAAAACAAAAAAAGGTTTAAATTGGAAAAATAAGACTATACATGCTCTAGCCTCCGTCTGTTCAACAGCATTACCCTCAGGTGATCAGCAGCACTGCCTTGTTTCACATCCTCAGTGCCGACAGTCATGCCAGTATAAAAAATAGATCTTTTGCACTGTAGAGTACACTAAATGAATTGAAACTGACATCATTTAATTGCACTGAGCCAAAAAAAAAAAGGTGCGTCTGTGGAATTTCTTCAAATTTGAGCACTAGTGGCCTTTTTTTTTGTTTGTTTTAAATTAAGAAAAGAGCAGTGGGATGATGACACAACATGAGGACACACAGCGTTACTGATTTTAAACCTCCAGCCACTTGCCTTCTAACTTTGTGTAAGCTTGGAGGTTCGTGAGTGACAGCTACTGTTCTCAAACATTTTAATGCCATGTCTTAATTGCCATTGATTTGCTGCTAAGACAAAAACAAAACAGGTTGAAACCTAAATACCAAAATATTCAGTCGGTCTTGATTATTTTGAGAAAGGCTGAACAAGGACTGACTACCTGTCTTGGATTATTGGAAAGGATCCCTAGTACTTAGCATGTATCTTGTTCAGATGTGCCTTTTTGTTTTGGTAGGCGAAAATGTCTTAAGCTAAAGAGTTGTCTACTGTTCTGGAGAACAAAGCTATATGCCGTGTATGTACGATTGTTTATATTGTATATTTACAGATAATGCTAATAACCTGTATAAATTTAAGTGACTTGAGGCCTATCATAGAGTCTGCTACTCCTGCAATCTTTTACGGTCAGAAGTGTTTCCTCTGGCTTAGGAACAGTCTTGCCTTCCAAACCTAATAACTTCCTTTAAATCTCACTTAACTTAATCGTGAATCCATTTTGGAAATTGGTAGCATTTAAACCAGCAAACACTTAAAGCTTTATTAAACTTTTTAAACTGATAAATGAATGGAATTTTTATTTGCCAGTTGAACTACTTGTTTGAACTGGTGTGAGAGTGAGTCTGTTTTACTGGTAGTACTGTAGCAGCATTTATAAAGTGGCCAGAAGCCACATTTTATTTACTGGTCTGTGGCCTTTTACTGTGCTTTGTATCAGAGTTCTTAACAAGATTAATAAATCACCCCAGTCTTAATTTTTAAGAGCTTGAGCAGTGCGTGTTCCTTCTAAGGACAAGGTCGGGAATTGCATTTAGCAACTTTTTGCCAGTACAAAATGCCCCCAAGGTTTCATGCTGCTGTTCTCCACTTTCGGTATCCTTTAGTTAGCAGTTGGGCTGTCAGCAAAGCTTCAAGGAAGTTGAGCCCAACACACAACAGATCCCTGGGAGCTGAACCTTTCCTTCCACCTGCTAGCCCATTGGATACTTTGGCTGCTCTAGATGGAGAAGTGGTTCCCACTTTTTCGGGCTTCTTACTAGAGGAGGAGCACTGTGGTGGGATCTGCAGCAGCTCAGGCTTCCAAGTAACACTCTGGCTTTTCATCAGCCTGCCTATATTGCTCCCACTGTCTTGGGAATTTCCTGGAAAAGGAGAGGTGATATACGTAGAAGGGGGTTGCTAATTTCCTTCTCCTGGGAAGATGCATTTGCCCTCTGCGTCTTGAACAGTCTTCTACTGCCTGTCCCCTTCATGCACTTTTCCTGAGGAAGAGAAGAGGGGAAGAATCTATTTGTGCAAGGGGCAGAAGGCACTTTATAAAGGAGAGCTGCTTCACTTCACAAAAATAACATTGAGGGAGTCCCAAATTTGAGATGGATGAACTGGGAATGCAGGCAGGAAATGGACGATGTCTTGATCGAGGCTTTTCCTCTGCAGTAAAAACTCAGCTTTTAACTTTTTGTAAGTCTTCTATTAGTATCTGGAGGTAAAATTATGTGCAGTGAAGATCCTGTAGGTTTTTCTGCAGTCTGGGCTTAAAGCATCACCACCCACAACTGATCAATAGTGCTGGGACAGTAAAGTTCCAGAGGGAAGAGCAGGAACCTCTTAAATTTGGTCTCCCAACAGGGGAAATAATGTGAAAACATAAGATACTTGTGCTAGAAGGCAGCAGCTGAATGTTCCTAGCTGCATTTCCCATGCATGGAACGTGACTTAACCTTTACAGGGCCAGCTCTGGAGTTTACCTAAAGTACATAAATCACAGGATGATTCATAAAAGGGACCTTGTTTATGGATAACTTACCACACAATTAAACTGTCCTCCAAGCATAACAGGAGCTGGAAAACACAAATAGCTATTCCAAGGCAGGGCAGCAGCAGCGATGCCAGCGGCATGAAATATGGTGCTTACAGCAACACATGTTCCCAAAGTTACTGTCTCTGGAAGCAGTTGAATGCAGTCGGGTTCCTACCAGTGTGGTTCGAGGGAATGCCAAGAAAGCAATAAATTTAACATTTCAGTTGCTGTGTAATTAGAGGGGTAGATAAAAGGGGGAGGGAAGAGGGAAAATGCTAGAGGGGGAAAAATACCAAATTGCTGGGTTTGAAGTTGGCTTGTGTGAGAAAAGACAGTTCCCTCAGAAAAGTGCAGATAAAGAGATGGAAGGTGATGGCAATTAATAGTAAAAGAACCATCTTTCTAGTTGTTTTCAGTGATCCTCTTTTGAGTTAACTGATTTTTAGCATTTTCACCTGCTCAGATTAACTTCTTTGGGTTCTATGACATCGCTGTAGCAGATCAAAACCAAAAAGGGAAAAAAGGAACCATATTTTGTTTCTTTTTGTTTGGTTGGGGGTTCTCTCGGGGGTGTTTGGTTTGGGGTGTTTTTGGTGTGGGGGTTTGTTGGGGTTGGTTTTTTTGTTGGAGTTTTTTGTTTGTTTTTGGTTGGGGTTTTTGGATTGTTTTGTTTTTTGTTTGTTTGTTTGGGTTGGTTCATTTATTTGGTTTGTTGTGGGGGTTTTTTTCTTCCTAGATTTACTCCAATATGCAGAAATACCCTGAAGTCTGAATATACAACTTGGAATCCCTAGCAACCACAGTAACTCCTCCCTCGGGGAGCGAGCATTAGTAAGAAATGCTAAGAAATAAAAGTAATAAACATGTCCAAGGAATATATCAAAAGCCTTTACAATTAAAAATGTTGATGCGCTGTCAATTCATCGTCAGCTGCCTTTTTAAAACCTTTTTGTAAGCTTAAATGTTGGGTGAGCGTCTACAACCCTGTGATTTCCAGCAATCCCTGGCTTAGTGGGACTACGTGCCCACAGTGCTTGCAGGCTGCGCTGAACAGCTTGTGAAGCAGCTTCTGACGCCCCGTGTGTTAATTTTCAGCCAGTTCACACGTGGAAAGTTTTCTTCACAGCTCTTTCCACTGGCTGGAGTTTAATCATAGAATCGCAGAATGGTTTGGGTCGGAAGGGACCTTCAAGGTCATCCAAGTTCCCCGCCCTCTGCCACATGAAGGGACACCTTCCACTAGAGCAGGTTGCTCGTGTCACCTTTTCACTAGTCTTATGGGCTACATCAGGAAGGTCTGACCGCCGGCCAGGGAGCTCCTGCATGCGGTTTCCTATAACGCAGGTTTCTCACCTCTGAGGGCAGTCTGACTGCGTGGCAAGTAAACAGTAAAAGTGCCTTTTTCTGTCAGACAAGGGTAGTGAAGGGTGTGCTTTCACGTAATTACCAGTCAACTTACAGGACAGTGGGCAGCGGGGCAGCGGTTCGCACGGTGTGCCATGTAAACCACAGGGACCTGTGCTACCCGAGGGGCGCAGCTGCCCGT